GCGCTCACGACCTCCTCCGCCCCCGGAGCCCTCGAGACTATGGCGTGTCCAAGGCCGGCGGCGGCAAGGGTAAGTCGGACCGCACCAGTGTGCTGATCGCGGGCAAGCAGAGGTCTGTCTGTCCGGGCTGCGGGCGCCGGCGCGGCTGGCTCTTTAGGGATTCTCTGGAGAACTTCGTGGAACTTTTTCTTAGTTCCTCAGTATCTCTGCGGTTGATTGGGACTCGCCTGTCAGTCTAAACCGATGCCTGGAAGCATCCAATTTAAGTCAAATAGGCATGTTTTGGGAGGAAATGTGTATAGAAAGCTTACCTTACATAATTTTGCTTCTGTGTGTTTCTGATAAAAGTCGTGTGAAACGTCAAAATTTTATTGTATGTTAGTGTATCAACTTCTGTGTCTGGTAATTGTTTCTAAGCAGCTGAAGGCATACTTTGAACTATCCCAGTCTCTCTGAAAAAGAAGAGAGAACAGAGGACTTCGGTAGGATCTGTCCCTTAGGAACCTCAGTTTCCCCATCTGTCAAGTTAGGAATTTATTATGCCAGATGATTTCGTGATTCCTGACGGACGTTTTTCTGAGTCTGTAATCTAGTCTGGTCCAAATGTTGACTCAGAAATGGTTTTTCTGTGCTTGGTGAAGCCAAGGCAAGCTTAGAACCCGTTACGGGCAAATTCAGGGACAGGTGCTGGTATTCTCCGGAACATACTCGCCCAATCGTAGTTAATTATTACCGACCTACCATTTATAGGTTTCATGTTAACAGATAATTAACCAGACATCAGAGAGATTGGTAAGGGATGTGCTATTCTGCTCTTTGATTCCCAATTAGCCGAACCAGCAGCTTTGGGGTTTGATTGTGGCAGCCCCAGAACCCCTTGATCCGTTTCCCAGAGGGCTTACAAAGAAGTCAAAACCAGCCTTTTATAGTTGTAGACCCTCTTACATCAGCTGGACACCTTAGGTCAGCTTGCTTCCCATTCCCAGCCTGGTTGGAAGAAATACGTGTGCAAAGGGTTCTCTTTGACTTTTAGGGGAGAGGCCCTTCTTCAGTCTCTTCTCCCAGGAGAGATAATTTTTTTAAAGGAGAATGAAACTGGGGAAAATGCTTATAGAATAGTTTTGCGGGGATGCATATTTGAGGAACCTTACCAGACAAAAACGAGGGTGGTGGTTAATAATGCTTGCTATAGGGGCTCCCTGGCTTGCTGGGTTTCATAAAAGGTCCATTCTTACGCATCCTCGGCAGATCGTGCAACCCTTGTTTCATCGTTGACTGGAAGCATTGCAGCACTCTGCTTAGCATATTGCTTCCATCCTTGCCAACCTTAATTACGTTTTACCCACAATGCATCACCCCATATAAAAGGTCTTAAACTCAGGGGCTACATTTGGAAGGGGAAAGCGATGGGAGAAGCAGACCGTTTGTATCTTAAGCTGGTCTTTCTGGTTACAGTCTCCCAGTGGCTTCTAAATTGTCTTTCTTCACAGTTGTGGGGCTGTTGAGGTAGAGTATATGGCACCCATTTGAAAGGTGAGAACACTGAGGCCCGCAGGTGGGGTACCACCTGCAGCTTTGGGAGCTGGAGCTCTGGTATAACTTTGGGTTAGAGAGAGGAAAGTCTGTTCACATGTTCTTCAGAGTCAGGCCAGGTAGTCTGAGAGAGGAGCGGCTTCCTCCCAGTCTTCTCAGGGTGCTCTCATAGGAACATCATTGAGGAAGTGACACCGTCTAGGATCTCCCACCAAAACAGTGCCCCCCCCCAACGCAAAACCCTTTGCATGTGTGCCGTCGAGCCCCATCCACTCAGGCTTATTAGAAACAGACTAGCAGAGATACCAATTGAAACATATTTATTGGCTGTGCTTTAAGTGCTAAGATACCAGCTGCCATGGGTGGGACGACAGGGAAGTTAACTCACCGCTCTGAGCCTCTGGTCTCCTTGAGACAGACTTCGCCCATTTTAGGACCGAGATAGTAATGTGTTTGATGCTCTCAGACTCTGGGTTTTTATTTGGGTGGAGGTGATAAGGTCCATCACAGGGTCAGTAAAACAGGTAAGAAACTGAAAAGGTAGTATTTTATTTATAGTTGCAGGACACCCATACTAGGGACAGTGATACTGGAGGTGAAGGCAGCAGACTGAGGAGTGAAAAAACTTTGATTTTTATATATTAAATGTGAAGGGTACATCTTCTGGTGCAATGGCCAGGAGAGGCCAAGAGGTGCTATGCCTTGGGTCTTCCATGGTCTCTGCTACCCAGTGAATCCAGAGAAGACTGCAATGCTTGGTGTGGGGTCAGGGTTCAAATGATGTGCCTGTTGCCTTGGACAGAACTTAAGCACATGAAGAGATTGAACTAATGCATATTTCCAGGTCTAGACCGGGAGGGACTAGGCATGGGGTGACATCATGGACTAACGTCATCATTGTTTGTGATAAGAATCACTATCTGTTTATGGCCAAGTCCCATTTATCCAGATTCCAAACAGCTGAGAAGGCCAAATTGCCAAACTCTGCATTTTTAAAATTATCATTAAACACCTGACACTCTTGTAAGTCCTGAGAAGGAAAGCAGCTGGGTTTTAGCTGGAGGCCAGCTCTGTGGCCATGGCCGATGAGGCCTGCTCTGGAGTGTGCAGAATGTATCTGTGCACTTCTTGTCTGCCTCGTGGGCTCTTCTGCGGGAACAGATCTCTTGTGTGCTTGTATTGGATGGGGCACGCTCTGGCTCTTGGGAAGCTGACTCCTGTTTTTGTAGATTGATGCATGGAGGTTCTGGGATTTACTCACAGCTAAGGACAGTGGATGGCAGTTCCTGAGGCCTCTAGCTCTAGGTCTTTATGGTTCCAAAACTTCTACCATCTCCATGTGTACCCTTGAATTTAGAGCTGGCCTTGGTAAGTAGGCCTTCCAAACATACCCAGAGAATTTAATTGCGTTTGTTTTTGGTATGTCTCCTCTCTTAAATGTTGGAAATTGGTAATGGTCTCTATGCCGTGTGTAGAAGACTTTGTAGTTTACCAGATGATCCCATCTGTCCAAACTGGATAGTGATGGTACTGTTTAATTCGCAGCAACTCAGTGGGCCTGGGCCCTTTTTACCATGTACGTACACAAGGAGCAAAAAGGGAGACTGACAATCGACACAAATGTGAACTCTGCCATTAGTAAAAACGGTCCCCGTAACATGGTTGTAAATTTCCAGAATCAGTCAGTCTTGTAGCTTAAAAGCAAACAAACAAAAAGAAGAAAAGGAGAAGAGACGAAAAAGAGGAAGAAGAAGAGAGATTACAGGCTGTGTGCCTGGGTGTCAGGCTGCTTGCTGGTGTGGAGCTGGGCACGATGGTTTCAGTGTGCTATCTGGTGGGTTTTTTTTTTTTTTTTTTTTTCCAGCCCATCAGGAAACTACTGCCATGTACCAAGGAGGTCAGGAAAGGCTAGCACATCTGTAATAGAAAGGTGTAAGTTATTTTTAAAGTATTTTCCCCCTCTGGCTCTGGTGGGCAATTTGCTTTGCATTTCATCCATTTTAAAGTGCTGGTCCTGGGATCCGGAAATAATCAGATCCAAATTTTTTCAGTGCTTGAGGTTTCAAAAAAGCGGGGGGAAACCTGCTGGCCAAATGTCAGGCTCAGTGAGACAAAGAGAAACAAGTGTGTAAGTGTGTGTGTGTGTGTGTGTGTGTGTGTGTGTGTGTGTATACAAACTAGATAGGAACATGTTGCATCTATAGTTGCAAGAGTTATGTATCCGACAAATCTTTTATAGATATGTAGCGGAAATATAATTCCTGAAGATTCCCTTCCAATTTTGTGCAGCTAGAATTTCTCTCCCTTTTTCTGCCTCCTAACCTCTCTAGAAGCTGTTAAGACTTGGATGGCAAAATGGAAAGGGAACCATCACTTAAGATCATGCCTTAGTTGGGGCCTGGTTTTTCTGAAGTTTACCTGCAATGCACTTAGCTGGCCCAAGGTCTCAGGACCCCCTTGACTGTGTAATCTCATAGGGTGTGTTACTCTGTCATTGTGATTTTTTCTATATGCGGTTTTTCTCCACACTTTGAAAAGAAAACTGCTCCGTCTTAGTTACTCATCTCCCCTCATTTCATTTGCGTGAGAAGCCAAGTGAAGCAGCACACTTATTTTTAAAGTGCGTTAAAATCTCATTACGGGCATAAATACATGAATCATTTGAAAGCTATATTCTTATGTTTTGCTCTGAAGGTTGCATAATTATCATTTTCTTCGGTTTTATTTCATGGAGGTTGGCTAGCATCCTAGAGGAGAGGAGAAACTTAAGTTTGGAATAGGGGTTTCAGTCCTTTTTTGGATAGGATTAGAAAGGAAAACCAACAAACAGACTCTATTTAGAAGCTGACCATCACTAACTGTGTGTGGCATTTACTTAAAGAAGAGAATTTTTATTTTGAAAATTTGAAGCTGATACAGTGGTGAGTTCTCTCTCTCTCTCTCTCTCTCTCTCTCTCTCTCTCTCTCTCTCTCTCTCTCTCTCTCTCTCTCTCTCTCTCTCTCTCTCTCTCTCTCTCTCTCTCTCTCTCTCTCACACACACACACACACACACAAATCAAAGTTAAATGATCACTCGTGGTTTGCTAATATATTTTTTCCTCCAGACTAGATTTTAGTTGCAATTAGTTTGGGCCTCAAGAGTCATGCTGTGTCTTTAGGTAGGGGCTAGTTTATTCTTGTGAGTAAAAGCACAAAATGTTCAGTTCAAGGGGGAGAAAAAAATCAAACAAACTGCAGTGGGCTTTGAAAAGATTGACTGAATAATACAAAAAGCACAAGCTGTAATTCTAGGCCAGGAAGAAAACAAAAACAAAACCCTCAGACTTGTGAAGTATCTGTACTGTCGTCTTCCCGGTTGCTTATGATTCTAACCGTTGAAAATGGATTGCTTGTTTATCAACCACTGCTGCCCAAATTAATAGTTTACAATGAAAAAAAAGAAGTCTTCAGCGTTGGAAGCAAAGTCCAGGCACTGACAGCTGAGTTACTGAGTAAGGAAAGCAGAAGGGGAGGGGGCTGTTTTGTGGCCGATTGG